CCCAAAAGGACTTAAGAAGTCTTACAATAAAAAAATAAACTCAAAAAAGTAACCATGTGAGGAACGACCAAAAATAGATTAACATGGTTGCTATACTTGCACGTTAAATGGAAGTGGAAAGGATCTGCAAAAGACCATTAGAATGATCTAAAGCAGTGGTTCTCAACCTTGGCTGTACATTAGAATCACCTGGAAATCTTTTTAAAATCCTGATTTCTGGGCCTCATCCTCTGGAAATTCTGTTTCTTTGTTATGAGGTGGGGCCACAACATTAGTAACAAAGAAACAGAATATCCGGAGGATGAGGCCCAGAAATCAGGATTTTAAAGATTCCCAGGTGATTCTAATGTGCAGCCAAGGTTGAGAACTATTGATCTAAAGGAAGATGCTCTGGCCTTAAAGTGTGAAAAGCAGAGCTCAGCCCTCTATTGCAGCAGTTCTCAACCTGTGGGTCGCGACCCCTTTGGCGGTCGAACGACCCTATCTCAGGGGTCGCCTAAGACCATCCTGCATACCAGATATTTACATGACGATTCATAACAGTAGCAACATTACATTTATGAAGTAGCAACGAAAATAATTTTATGGTTGGGTCACAACATGAGGAACTATATTTAAAGGGCCAGAAGATTGAGAAACACTGCTCTGTGTCCCACACTCCCACCATACTCCCCCAATCAAGAGCAGGGCCAGTACAAACTCTCCCCATGAGCTACAGGTTCCCAGAGTAGCTCATGGGAACTACTCATCCCCACCCTTCTCAAATCAAGACCGACTGCACCAGGAGGCCAAGGTGTTCTGAAGTAGAGGTGAGACTAGGTGAGTAAAACCCACTGCCACCATGTTCCTCCAGGTCTCAAACAACCACTCCCACTAGTCTTCGTCTCTACCCTAATACCAGCACTGAAGTCAGAAACCCGCCTGACTCACTTCTATCCACTCACTCCACCTGTCCATTCACTCAGTCTGCCACACTAGAAAACTGTATTTCAACCAATTCACCTGCCCGCCCCCCTCCAAAAAAGCAAGCAATAGAAACAGAAAACATATCTCATGCAGAGTAAGCAGCAATTCAAAGTGAAGCCCACCATTAAGGTGTGAGATTTCTCAGTTTTGATTCATCATGCCTAAAAGACATGTAATATAGGGTTTCTTATTCAATCCAGACTTTTGGGACTGGAAGGAGCTTAGAGATAATTGATCCATCTGCCTCATTTAAGCAAAAAGTCAAGTCTGACAGGTGGAATCTTACCCCACATCACCAGATGGAGAACAGCAGCATCTGGACTAGACCTTGTCTCCCCTGAATCCCAGGCCAATGATCTCTCTTCTCTGCCAGATTGCTTCCCAGGAACAGTGTTAATAAACTAGATTTATTAACCTTAAGCACAGATTCCCCAAATCTCCGCAATTCCTCCTATTACACGTGGATTTGGTGTTACAAGACCATCCCAACCAGGCTACTTCCCACTTAAAGTACCTCAAAATGTGTTAAGGCATAAAGAGAGAGAAGAGATGGTGCCTTAAGTCACTCATCATAAGCATATAAATGGAGAAAACGTGTCAAGCCCAGTTTATATAGCAGATTGAACATCTCAAAAATGATATCTGAAAATGTCATCTAAATTTCCATTAGGTTTATTTTTTCTGTAATTTCCTAATGTAAAAAAAAAAGGCAATTTAATCGAAAAATAAAATTTTTTTAAAATGCCAACTGAAACCACTGTTCTTTTTTTCCCTAAACATTAGAACTAAGTGAGAAAAACATAACATTAATGTATCATATTGAGTCTCACTGAAAATAAGTGAAATCCCACAACACTCCATCTGCATCAAATGTTCACAACCTGTGATTCTGTATAAATTTCTGCTGTTAAAACAATAAGCATATGTCAGTCTCCCAAGAGAGGGAGCAGCAACAGAACCAGGGTGTGTATCCATCTCCCAACAAGAAATAAGAGAAAAAGCTACATAAGCCCAGTAAGAGTTGACTCCTTTTACTTCATTCCTTGTCCCTGACAAGGCAAAGAGTTTCCTACAATTTTTATGTCTTCCTTGGAGACATAAAATAAAAGCAAAGACCAGATCCCAAAGGACACCTACTGCAACACTGCTAGAACCACACCTGTAAGGTGAAGGGCCAGCCCATGCTAAGAAGTGAGTGCACCACCTTCTTACCTGGATTCGAAAACCGGTCAATTTTCTCTTTTGAAGTTACAAAAGGAAACTAAAATTTTCACTTATTTCCCAAATTCCACTCTCCAAGTAATAGAAGTATTAACACTGATGAGTTCTACGTGCTATTTAACTCTGAACCTGCTCTTGGCATTTATCTTCTCACCCAGGTCCCCTCCACTGGAGGACAGGCTTCCCCTACTATCCAAAAGTATTATGGTCCCATGAAGCCTTACGTAAGCCGAAACGAGGTCAGGTGAAGAAGCAGTTACCATTAACTTACATGGAAAAATTTGAGTGTCCCCAGACCCAAAATTCAATACATACAATGTCTTTTTCTTTTTCATTCATCACAATGAAAATGCTTAATTACATCCAGTTTTACACTAAGCATAGAGCTCTCAGGCTTTTCTGATACTTTAGGACACATCTTGCTAAGGGATGAGCAAAATAAATTAAGGTGAAATACAGATGCTCAAAGACACAGTTAAAGCTACGGAAGCTTGATGCTGAGACACTGAGTGTGGTTTCTGGGGAAGGAGTCTGGCACTGCCACACTTGCTGCTCAAGGTGCACTCTGCCTCCACAAGAGCAAAAATTCTCTTTAGATTGCTTTCAGTTAGCAAAAGCCACTACTAATGTAGGTCTTTCCTAAAAGCTAAATAGTATAATACAAACTTCCAAAAAGCAGGGGATACCTGAATTGACTTTAGGAATATGTAGGAGTGGCTAATGGGATGTCAAAAACCTTAGCTGTGCTCTATCAGTGGATAGAGCATCAGCTGGGGACTGAAGGGTCCCAGTTTCGATTGCAGTCAAGGGCACATGCCGGGTTGCAGGCTCGATCCCCAGTAGGAGGCAAGCAGGAGGCAGCCAATCAATGAGTCTCTCTCATCATTAATGTTTCTCTCTCTCTCTCTCTCTCTCTCTCTCTCTCTCTCTCTCTTCCTTTCTCTCTGAAATCAATAAAAATAAATATTTTTTAAAAAAACTTAGCCTTGTCCCTGTAAAAAAGATGAATATGAACAAGAGCAGGTCTGTTTTTACCAGGCTGCCAGTTTACATTTATTCAGTGGATTTAATGTCAGCTATTAAACTCATCAGAATATCAGAACAATGACCACTCCCACTGCTTTTCTGCCTTTTATCACTACCAAACACAAATATTAATAACTGAGACTAAACCCATACCGTCTAAGTGGAACATGGAACTTGGAAGAAATTTAAGAGCTACTATAAAAACACTAAAGATAATCATCAATGACGACGCTAAGGCCTTTGCACTTGCTGTTCAGTGTGCCCGGAACACACTTCCTCTACAATTGGTTCTTTGATGTCCATCATATCTCAGTGCAAATGATGAAAGAAGCCCTTGCTACCTAAATAAGCCACCCCTTCCCTTTTTCCCAGCCACTCTGCCCAATTCCCCTACCTGAAATCACTATTTATATTACCATGCTTATTTCTTATTTACTTGTTTATTGTCTCTGTCTCCTCCTTGAACCTTAATGGAAGGATTCGGATCTACTTTTTTAACTCCAATATCCAGACAGAGCCTGACAGAGCAGATGATCAAAAAATATGTGTTCAAGAAAGAAAGAAAATATGATTGCTCATCAATCTATATAATTAGTTAGCACACAGCAGAAGCCACTATTAGCATAACTAGAGCCAGACAGATGCTTCCTTTTCACACAGAAAAAGTGACAGAAAGCCTTGAAGATGTAGTAAAAACAATCTTACTTACAAGCTTGATTGAAAGTTACCATGTTACCTGCTGGGAAGTGGGCAATTTTAAGACTACAGGGAAAAGTCTTCCATCATATTCTACCTACTTCTTTGCAAATGGCTCTATAAAGTATCGTTATTCAACTCCCTTGTTTGCCCTTTGAGTAGAATAAGGGTACTTTCAGTAGCTTAGGAAAGGTTTTCTTTTCTTTCACAGCCTGCATGAGGTAAGGCATACAGGAAGGAGCATGTTAGCACACTACTACTCTCTGTCCATACTACACTCTGGGAAGACACATACTTCTTAATTCAGAAACCTAAGAGAACTTAGCTAAAATTATGTAAATTACTAGAGGCCCAGTACACGACATTCGTGCACTGTGGGAGAGGAGGGGTGTCCCTCCCCTCAACCCGGCCTGCATCCTAGAGCAGTCTGGGACCCCCTTGGGGGATGTCCGACTGCCGGCTTAGGCCCGATGGGGGAGCGGGCCTAGGCCAGTAGTCGGACATCCCCTGATGGGAAGTTAGCGCTGCTGCACTCGCCAGCCTGGAGCCCGGCTTCTGACTGAGCAGCACTCGCCCTGTGGGAGCACACTCACCACCAGGGGGCAGCTCCTGCACTCTGCGTCTGCCACCTGGTGGTCGGTGCATGTCATAGCAACCGGTCATTCTGCCGTTCAGTTGATCTGCATGTTAGCCTTTTATTATACAGGATAGGTATCATTTCCTACAGGTTGTAGGAAATTTCGTATGGAAGAAATTTCTACTAAGCTGCTCACCAAAGTCTAACTCCTGCTTTATAACAACTTGGCAGTACAATTCCTGTTGAAGGGAAAAACTGTGGCCACCTCCTTCCTCCTTTAGGTGGACCTCTGCCACAGTCACCTAGTGAGAATCATGGTTCTTAGCATAAAGCCAAAGACTGGTGGAGGGATTTATTTCCCCTTTGGAGGCAATTAAATGAAGTAGGGTAAAATGGGAACTCGGATTTGGCACTGTCCTTCCTTTGGCCTTCCACACGTAAGCAAGATAAGGTATGCTGCTTCCGCCGAACCGGTTTGGCTCAGTGGATAGAGCGTCGGCCTGCGGACCGAAAGGTCCCGGGTTCGATTCCAGTCAAGGGCATGTACCTGGGTTGCGGGCACATCCCCAGTGGGAGATGTGCAGGAGGCAGCTGATCGATGTTTCTCTCTCATCGATGTTTCTAACTATCTCTCTCCCTTCCTCTCTGTAAAAAATCAATAAAATATATTTAAAAAAATAAAAATAAATTTAAAAAAAAAAGATATGCTGCTTCCAAGGCCAGTTCTGATAAGCACAGGAAATTCAAGAACTATGGCCAATTCATTCTGCTGTTGCGAAAGCAGCCATGGGCTACAGACTGAAAAGAAGACATGCAAACATACCAAGTTAGATGGGAAAGATAGAGTGAAAAGACAGAGAGAAGGGCTCTATCCTCACAACAGAAAGTAACGTAGGTCAGTACAACCAGAGAAAATAGCCATCTTTGTGTAGCTGCTAGGTGGTGTAACTAAATTTTATACACTAAGTATCCCAAGACTTCTCCCAATCTTATCTGTTTAGCATGTGCTGACAATACTCTGTTGCAGCTAAACAATGTCCAGCAAATTATTCAAAGAAACCCAATTAGACTCTTTTCAGGTTTTGAGAAAGTAGTAACTAATTTGACAGACACATTTACTTTTCCAGGTTATATTTTGTCTGCCCACACACTTGCCAGTCTCATCCCAACTCTGAAAATATAAATCCACCTTCACTTTTTCCCATCATCCTGATTGCCTTTTCAGTAACCGAACAGCTCCAAAATACTTGTGTGAACCTACTGCCCACTTCCTCCTTAAACACATCCCAGAACCAACTCGGTCCCCCTTTGCTTCCACTCAAATAGCAAACACATCCTCTACCATCACCATCATTTTTAAAAACTGGTCAAATGTAAAGATTTTTTTCACTATTTGATTCCCAAGTTCTTTCTTCTTTAACCTTAAAAAGGTAACAGAGGACTGCCTGGCCAGAGTGGTTCAGTTAGTTGAGCATCGTCCTGTGCACCGAAGGGTTGCCAGTTCGACTCCCGGTCAGAGAACATTCTTGGGTTGTGGGTTCAATTGTCAGGGCATGTGAGGAAGGCAACCGATGATATTTATCTCTCACATCTCTCTCTCCACCCCACTTCCTCTCTCTAAGCATGTTCTCCAGTGAGGATTAAAAAAAAAAACAAAACGTAGCACAGGACTTACTAGGAGTACAAGGCAGACACTGGAAATACTTGCACCTTTCATGGTCCTATCATCTATTCTTTTGACCAAAAAAAGGAAGGATTATTATTCTTCGCTGCAGCAAACCTCAAGCCTAGATCTTTTCAGACTTTCAGCTCTGAATCCAGACAAATCCAGAGGACTCACCTGAAAAGCATACTCTGGTTAGTCTGTGTTCCAGTTTCTGTCCCTCTCCCCAAAGGCAGAAAAGCAGTGATTACAGTTTTCCTATTCATCAAACTACTTCCTTCTCACTTTCCTCTGTCCCCCTTTGGAGACTTCTTACAAAGCAGTTCCTAGTACCACTGGAAATGATTACTCTCCAGGAATATACAACTTTCTTAGCAAAAGAGCTTCACACAGAGCAATTTGCCAGTGGTTGAGTTTTCATTCCCGATAAGGCTCTAAGCCTGGCACAAACTTCCTGTCCCTCAGCAACTCACCCAGCTTCCCTCCCCTAATCTCTGCCTGGAACTCACTCACCCATCCCCTGCATTTGGTCACAGAAAAACAGCAACGACTACTCAATCACTGCATTTTAAAAGCCTCTTCTCAGACTCAAACATGTCTTCCACTTCACACTGCTATGCACATGACGAACAGAAGCACCAAATGAAGTCACTCACCACAATAGCAGCTCCCAGATAAGACAAGGATAAAACATCTAATCTTTCCCCAGCTCAGTTACGGTCAGCTTCACTTTCCTGCAATTTTGCAGTCATGCATCACTGGCCCCACCCTTATAAACTATGCCCCGAAGTCAGAAGTGTCATACCACCATGCTGAAGAACATGTGCTCTGGCAGACAGGCCTGGTTCGAATCCCAGGTCTGCCTCTTATTAAAAATAAAAACTGCCTGCCCTTCAGTAAACTACCTTTTCTCTCTAAACCTCAGGTTACACATCTGTAATATGTATCAAATAATCCTATCTACTTTAAATGAGATAGTGTAAACAAAATACTCAGCACAATACAAGACCTCTAATAAACAAGTGATTGTTGATAGTCAATATCCATGTAATCTGTGAGCAGGCATAGGGACCTCATAAACTCCAGATGCCCTGGAAGCTTCCAGAACTGGCAGAAGCAAAAATATGTTGGGCCTCATTCCACTCCCACCCCACAAATGAGAGAGGCCTTAGCAAAGGAAAAAACTCAGAGATCCATCCAGTGTTGCCAATCCCACCACCAGACCATCAAGCCATGCTCTGCTTCTATGCTAAAGGTAAAGATCAGTGCAAATGAAAAATCTAATGAAAGAGAAGCCCCTTCCTGGGTCAGGTCAATATTCCAACAAAGGGAAAATATGTGCACCTTGGAAAGTCAGTTTCTGGTAAATTCTGACTCTCCATTTATGTACAAATAAAGGGGGAAAACAATACTGAAAACCCTACGGATCTCAACTGGTGGCAGAATATTACCTAAGAAACGAATACATGAGAATTCGGGGGAAAGGGAAATCTTGAAATCTAATTTACACACACACACAAGCTGAAGAGCATTTTAATCCTTGTGAAAGACAATAAGCCAAGAAAATAGAATGTTTTTCCAACTTTCTACCACAGCAAAAAACTGTGGAGCTTTGGGGGAAAGGTGTCATAAAGGATATTATTTTTGCTGTTCCAAATGAAAAAGTCAGATATTAATCTGAAACAAAAATCTGTAAGTTACCCGTCATCACAACCAGAAAATCTGGTAACAACTAAGATGTCAGTGAGGGTTGGGGGATGGACAACAGAGGGGAAGTGGTAAAGAGAATTCATTCTAAAATTACCATGGAGCTTAAGTTTTATAGTTTAAATGAACTTTACAGGGTTTTGAATTCAAAATCCAAGAATGCAGGGAGTGAGGGGATATAAACTCTCTAGTGTTAAAGCCGGTAGACTGGGAATCAGAACACTTGGGCTCCAGTCCTGGCTCCAACCCAAACCACATGTGACTTCAGGCAAGTCACTGTAAGGGGCACAATGATCGCTAAGAATCCTGCCGGCCTAGCATCTTAAGGGTCAAAAAGAGGGGGGAGCACGAATATCGGGAGCTCCCAGGACTTACAGACCTGACACAAGAGCTGGAGAGGAGAAGAAGGGAAGTGAGGGCCACAGAGCAAGAAAACTTGGAGTAACTGAACATCAGAGGAAACAGAAAAGCTTCAAGATGGCCAAGCACTCCTAGAGTTCCAGGGAAG